CAAAATTTTTCTTTGCTTTATATTTTATCTTACAACCTTAAGGATAAAAGTAAAATATATTGTATCTATAAAAGTAAATATATAAATTAAGATTTAAGAAAAAAAGTCTTATTTAAGCTTATTTTTTTGATCAAAAAAAAAAACATAATTTCACAATTGTTGCTTATCAAAAGCATAATCTTAAAACAATAACTTCTTGGAATTGAACTATCAGATTCTTTGTCAAGCGCTGCTAAGAAATGGATCCGTGCCTTCAGTTAAAATTTTATATCTTTCCTCGGCAGTTAGGTTATTAAAGGGTGAAGTTACAGAAATATTATCGTTTCGAGGTATCAAAGGCTGACCAATCGCTGGATTTATAAGAAGATTAACATTTTGTGGTATCAAAGGTTGACCATTCGTTTGAGGTTGACCATTCGCTTGAGGTTGACTAGTTGCTTGATTTATAGGAATATTAATGTTTGGAAGTGTTAAAGGTTGACCGGCTGCTTGATTTATTGACTGAGTCATAATGAAAAGGGTTTAAAAGGGGATTTTTTTTTTAAAAAAAATAAAATAAAATAAAATAAAATTTGGGTTTTTATAGAAAAGTATCATTGAAAGTCCGATGACAGGTTTTCTTTTGACGGCACTCATATAATAAAAACTAATACTAGTGGAAATGTAAAAAAGATTTTGTCTAGGGACTTATCAAACTATCCGAGATTATGCAGAGTCCGCATTATTTCACCGACAATCACTTCGACAGCTCATTTAGTTGACCAGGTGAAATTAGTAAAATATATACCTACAACTAATCAAATGCTTAACCCTAACCCTATGTGATGTCGGCTAAATGAGCGTTCAGTGAAATTATTAACGCCGGAACCGGATTATGCTATAACCAAAATGGTATTCCGAAATTAATATTTGAGTGCCACCAAGGAAAAACCAATAATTCTTGATTTTCGGAAATTTCACTTTTTTAGAAACAGACAATATTAGATTCTTATGAGTCATTGCTGAATGAAATTTCGGAAATAACTTGCAGAAAATTAAACACTTTTCTTTTATAGTTACTAAATTAACACGAACAAAATAAAACTAAAAATAAACCTGATTGATTATTTATACGAAATATGTATTTGGCAATGCTAATACAGGCAAAAATAATATCACATAATATTGTCCAGAAGGACAAGGTCTCACGTGTTTTGTTTTCATAATTTCGTCTTTTATATATTTCCAAGTCTTCCTTCATCGATCTTCTTAAGAACCGAAAGCTCACTAAAATCCAATACTTTTAACATTGATTTTTCGAGTTATGTGGCAACAGACTTCTAAATAATTTTATTTATGTGTATAAGATTTTTATTTTATTTTATTTATTTTTCTAGTAATTACGTTTTTTTAATCAAACACCCGGTATTACCGTAGTAATGATTAGAGCTATCCGGGTAGATTCACCGCATCCACTTATTTGTGCGGGTAATACGGGTATTCCGGATCAGTCCGACATAGAATCCGAACACGTGCGAAAGAAGAAAAAAAGAAAAGAAAACGAAAATACTCGTTTAAATCGACCTTTGGTTGACTAATAAAAAATAACGGGAATGAAATTTTACATATAAAAAACCTCAACTTATCGCTAAAGCTCACAACCCTAACGTCTTAATCCTAAACTTGGTTTATTTACAAAATTTGATTCCTTTTTTGGTTTGTGTTACCCACGCGAATAAGTAAATCGACTGCATGGTGGACAATCGTGGTAGTACAAACTTCCAAACTTGAAATTTGTGACTCAGGACCGATCTGTCCAATAAAAGTATGGGATGATCGATCACATGAAATTAAACGATTGGTCATGTCCGTACACGTGATAATTGGCCAATCAATTTTTTATAAAATTAAATAATGTTCGAAAAATCTTTATTTACTAAATCAAAGATATCTCACGATCCAGCAGTCAGAATTTGATGAATTTTATACCATTCGATTCGTCTCAATGAGACGAATTGAATGGTATAAGTTTCGTCAAATCCTACCCACTAGAACATGAGATATTAACGATATTACAATCCCTTATTTGCTTATACATTTCTTAATAAAATTTTATTTTTAAATGCGTGTAAATTATTTCTACTTAATCTATTCAATAAATATACTTTGTTAATTGTTTCTAAATCGTTCCTATATGTGTTTTAAATTGTAATAGTTAAAATAATTAAAATTTAACTTATAAAATAACAAACTCATTTGTAATACGTATAACTTTAGCTTTAAAGCATATAAAAACGAGTTAACTTATCTTTTTTTACTCTGCTTTTCATATAAACGCTACTCAAACTTGTTTTAGCTTTTTCTAAAAAAGACTAGATCTTAGTTTTGCATCGTTCGTCCTTGGTTTTGACACTAAAATACCTTAGATCTCTTATAAACTTCGTCTCTAATAAAACTTTTTGGATATTGGGATTATTTTGGATTAATTTTAATAGAAGACGGGGCAGTCAAAGATCTTTCGATAGCTTTTTTTTTGGGGTGAACTTAATTGGTAAGTTTCGAAGAATCACGAGAATACAAAGTACTTTAAACTGTATAAAAAATCAAAAAAATTTTTTTATTCAATTGGCTAAGCCACAATGTCGATCATCCAAATTTGGGTTTGTCCACCATGCTGTAATATCCGGAAGCATGATAAATTATTATGTATTTCGGGTAATCATATAGTTAACATAAATGGTGTTTCCGAAATTGATACGTATTCAGCATTAATGCATTAATATTTCTTACTAGCAGATTTTGAACGAATCAACTTGCAGCCAAATTAAATACTTTTCTTTTATAGTCACTAAATTAACACGAATAAAACGAAATAGATTAAAATTTTATTATTTGCCAATGCTAAGGCAAAAAATGATATCACATGATATTGTCCAGAAGGACAAGGTCTCACGTGTTTTGAGTTTTCATAATTTCGTCTTTTATATAATTGATTTTCTTTATGCTTAACTTCGAAATAGAGTCAGCAGAAAAAGATTTTACTAATTCTATTTTTTCGATACCAATATCATTAAAGAAAGAATAAATTTTCTGGGCTCTTTCTTTTCTTTTATTACGGGCATTCTTAGTAGTACCGGGTAGTTGTTTTTCGAGTTCTTCATTAACCCTCATTTGAGCTTGGTGTACATTGGAAGATTCGTCAGAATAATATTTGAAACGTTGAAATAGAACTTTTCCGAACAAATAATATGATCTTATAACTTCTCGATTGGCGATCTCCTTACGAATTTCGGCATCGGTGATCTTATTATATAAATGAAGCAAATTTTCAGAATTCTCACTTTCTTCTTCCCTAATTTCAGTTAT